CATAACACATTTTCAGTTTGGTAGGAACGAATTTTGAATTTTGTCTGGGTCGCGGTCGAAGCCTACTCTTATCGATTTTGGACCAATAAGGAATATTTAACGTGCCCAACTTGCACACGGGGCATCCGAGACTTTTCGCTCTTATCCGAAAAGGCTAGGCGTTAGATCTTACCTACCGTAAGATCAGGGGTGAGGCTAAAAGACAGCAGTAAGAAGGAGCCAAGGAGTAGTAATTAGAAGGCTTCAGAAAGAGTAAGGGGCCCAGAGGAGGGGGCAAAAGAGCTGAGGGAGTGGGGACAGAAAGTGGAGACGAAAGCATATGACAAAACATTGTTAGAGAGCAGTACCAAAAAAAAAAAAGGGGGGGAGAACCAAACATTTTAGAGAAGAATTTTTTCCGTCACTATCCGGATTCGAATCCGGAACCTATTGAATGAGAGGCGAACACCGTAACCTCTCGACCACGAAAGCCCCACAATAACATGTTTGGGTCACACCACGAACCTAAAACCTCACCACGACCTCTCAGAAAAGAAAATTGGCAGATTACATACACATCACAGCATCAGCAGAGCTTGTTTAAAATGAACTTTAGACCACGAGTGACGCAAAACACGATAATAAGAGCTGTTGCAGTTGTCGTTTGTCGTTGGGTTTTTTTTCTTTTTCTTCGTTTTGTTGTTTTTCTTTACTTTTGAGAGTTTTTAGAAATTGTATTTTTTTTCTGTTCGTTGTCGTTGTTGTTGTTGTTGTTGTTGTTGATGTTGTTGTTGTTGCAGCTGCTGCTGCTGTTGTTGCGGTATGACTGACACAAAACTTCGACACAGTTTACGCGTCAAAGAACATTAATTTCTTTCTTGTAATGACAAAGACTTTGCGTAAGTTTCCTAAAAGTTCATGGCACTTGCAACACAATAAGGTCATATAAGAGCGAAGATTAGAGGCGCTACAAGAGACTAACAAACACACAAAAAAGAAGGAGGAGAAGATCAAGACGTTAGATCTTCGAATATAGGAAAGAAGGAGCAAACCACACTAGAGCACCCGTCAACCACCCGCAGACTATTATCTATCACAAGTCTTCGCATATAGATCTACATCTTCATCTGTCGCATGCGCCAATCCCTCCTCCCTCAGCCCTCCAATACCC